CATGTCCGTCCGCCCATGTTAAATTGTAAACAAAGTACAGGTCGCATTTATGATCCGAATTGGATAAATTTGGCATAGGTCAAGGACGAACCCTATTGAAATTGGGAAAAATCGGTTCAGATTTAGATTTAGCTCCCATACATATATTTAACCGATTTAATGTAAACGGTCCCTATATATCTTTCGATTTGCACGAAATTTGGTACAGCCTAGTCATTTAGGTCTAGAATGATGAATGCCAAGTTTCGTGGAAATTGGTCCAGATTTAGATATAGCTCCCATATATAGTTTCGTCCGATTTAATGTAAATGGTGCCCCAAAGTCCATATATATCCTTCGATTTGCACGAAATTTGGCATAACGTACTGAATTGAGCCTAGAATGATGTCTGCCAAGTTTCGTGAAAATCGATCCAGGTTTAGACATAGCTCCCATATATAGTTTCGTCCAATTTCATGTAAATGGTGCCCCAAAGTCTTTATATATCTTTCGATTTGCACGAAATTTGGCAAAACGTATTGAAATAAGCCTAGAATGATGTCTGCCTAGTTTCGAGAATCTCGGTCCAGATTTAGATATAGCTCCCATATATAGTTTCGTCCGATTTCATGTAAATGGTGCACTAAAGTCGGTATATATCCTTCGATTTGCACGAAATTTGGCATAACGTTCTGAATTGAGCCTAGAGTGATGTCTGCCAAGTTTCGAGAAAATCGGTCCAGATTTCTATATAGCTCCCACATATAGTTTCGTCCGATTTCATGTAAATGGTGCACCAAAGTCGCTATATATCTTTCGATTTGCACGAAATTTGGCATAAAGTACTAAATTGAGCCTAGAGTGATGTCTGCCTTGTTTCGTGAAAATTGGTCCAGATTTAGATATAGCTCCCTTTTTTATAGATTGATTTTAAGTAATTGACGCACCATGGAACCAATAGGAACAAAACATTCTGAAATTAGTATAACCTAACCTAACAAGTTTCTTTGAATTCGCTTAATATTTGGATAGAGCTTCCATATATATTTTCGCCCGATTTCAAGTAAATTGGGCATCAAACTCCTCATGTTAGTCAGATTGACATCAAATTTTGCACAACGTACAAAATTGAGCATAGAATTACGTAGTTGCGTTTTCTAGAAGTACAGACATAGCCCAACGGATGACCTATTTATATTTATTTGAAGTCGATTTACATACTTTTGTCCCATTGAAACAAACGAATGACATATTTATGGATAGATCTAGGTAGATTCACATTTAGATAAATATCACATATTTTATTTCATCCAATTTCATGTTAATAGTCCTGTTTAATATACCCATAGTGGTGAAGGGTATCATATAGCCCGTCCGACTTTACTACTCAAATCTTAAAGTGCGAAAACTTTAAGGGGACCCCCCCATTCTCGGGGTCAAACTTTGTTTTCGACTTAATTTGAATCTACACTAATTCAAGAATGTCCCTACAAATTTTCAAGTGAAAATCTCAAGAACTCTTGAAGATATAGCCGATTTATTCCGTCAGCATCAAGTGACGGCTGAAGGGATTCTCAAACTTTAAACGCGTTTTTCTCTAAACGAATGGCGGGCACGATAACTCAAAAACTAATAACCCAATCGATACACGTTTCTCTGTGAGGGTATAGCTATTGTATGAACTAGGATAAAGCCAATCGGTGAAGATCTTCCTTATTTGTTAACTTGGTTTTTGGTCAAAAATCGGCGATTTTCCAAAAATATTTTTTAAAGGTCCGCCAGTTTGTTAATTTTAGAGCGAAATTAATAATCCTTGTTCATACGAGAGCCAGACATGTATTCTTTCTAACGCCATTGGAATTTTCGGATTCCGATGTTCCAGTGAGGAGTTATCATGCCCGCCATCAAAAATAAGGATTTTTCTTTAATTACAAAAAACAACAACAAAGCAATAACAACAATTTTTTGTACATTCATATCGTCAGATATATATATGCAGGGTTTAAAATGCAGCATCAACAAATATTAGCATTAGTCTTACAGAGCTACTGCTAAAAAATATTGACATTATGACTAAATCAGCAAACGGCTAGCTTTTTTAGTTCGTAGCATCCGTGCTAAGCACGTATTGCACAAGCGAGCTTTTTTTGTTATGACTAATCGGCAGTACGACTACATATTCATATTTCGCTGCCGACGAATAATCAGCCTAGGGGTTGTTTTTATGTTTGTGTGTTGCCAACGCAGAATTAGAAAAACGGCATTTCATTTTGTGCGTTTTTATTTAATTTAAGCTTGTCAAATCGCAATTAAAACTGTCAATAATAGTACTAAAAACTAAATAATATATTAAATTAAACTCTTTAGCAAGTATTACTAATTGTCTTTGTTCGAAAAAATGAAATTATCATAATCGCCATTTTAAATTATCTCATTTAATTTATAAAATTTCAATGGGCAACACTGAACTCGAAAAATGCTCGGGTTTTGTTTGCTAAAAATCTTGCTAAGCAGCCACAGTCAAGGTGCTTAGTCTTCATTGTAAGCTTTGGTTGTTAGTCGCGTTGACAATTATGTTGTAGTTGTTCATTGCTATTTTGTAGCTGCTGACAAGATCAAGAAGCTTTAGTTTTGCTTGCTAAAATTATTCGTAATGTATTGCTATTTGTTGCAGCTGTGCTTGGCTGTGCTGCATAGTTTGAGGATGAATTTAGTTAGCAGTGCGCCAATTTTCTGTGTTTTTGCTATTTTGGCGTTAGCATTTTAAACCCTGTATATATGCAAAGTTACATACCTTAACAAGCATTGGTATTGATTTACCAGCCCTTTGAAAATCTGGAAAAATTAAAATCGAGAATGGGGGGTTCTCTTAAAAATTAGTAGAATGAAAAAGGTTGCCTAATTTGTATGAGGATATTATATGTATGTGGGGCCCACATAGCGATAGCCACATTTTGATTAGTTGAATCTATGCATGTCTCTCTGTCTGTCCATTTGGAATGAAAGTGCAGGCAGTAGTTATGTACCAATCATCACGAAATATTGCATGTAGTTTCGATAGTTATATTTTATCGTAATGATCGGCTAATGAAGGTCATCAAATTATCAAAAAATTCCAATTTGTATACCCTACACAACTATGCTGTCAGGGTATTATAGCTTTGTACAGCCCCAAGAGTTTGTAACACCGCGAAATATTGGTCGTAGACTAACCTTGAAACATACCGATCGTCATATCTCGACTAGCTGCGTCGATCTAGACATGTATGTTCGTCCGTCCGTCCCTTATAATTTGTAAACAAGATACAGACCACAGTTATGGACTAATCTTCATGACATTTTGCATGTAGGATGGGTTCTGGCCAATGTACAGATCGATTAATATTTAGGGGATGAAATGGACCAAATACTAAATTTTTGTCGGTTTTTCTGGTTGCTCCAGAGGCCGCAATTATTGCCCGAACATGGTGAAATTTTACATGTAGGAGGGTATAGGGCCAAAGAAAAAGATTGGTCAATATTTTGCGGGTAATATTTGCGGGTAAAATGGATCCTGACTTTGAAAAATTACAAAATTTGTATTCTATGGCATATATATTTTGTCCGGAAGGACATAGACCCGATAAGTTGATAGTATATTTAAGAGAAGTGGCAGACCTTTAAATTGATACCAATTATATTGTTGTATGTTCTCGGATGTGGAAGTTTCACTTAAATATTTACAGGTGCATATGTATTCAGATATTATTTAGTAACCCATTACCACGGAAATATAGCACTGAAATTTCCATAAGGTTCCAGTTATGGTCAAGGACAACGCCTATTGATCAAATAATAATTTTGGGATGAAGTGGACCGAAAATTTAATTTTTTTGTCTTTTTTGAGTTGATCTATTGGCCAAAATTTGATTTGATTGATCCGCTCACTGTATTTGACCTAAAACCCCAAGAGTGATGATTTGAGGTAATAGGATGGGTCTACATAATCTTGTATGACTATATATTTCCAATATAACGGTAGTTTGGCTACATTTTTCAACGGAATTAACCCTAAATGTTCCTACCAATCATTTACCAGGACACAATGCCCTTGAAATTGTGAAGAATATAAAAACTTCCACCCAACCGAATATTAGAACCTTTTTTGTTAAAAATAATTTACTAGCTATCATTTATGCATCTTTAAATGCAAATATTTTATTATTAGTGTTATATAAATTATCCATTGTTTTATCAGCTATTATTTAAAACAAATACATGTGGCTATATTATAAAACTTCCAACTAGAAAACGATAAATTCTCATTAAAAATCCAACTAATAAATTACAATCATTACTACAGCGATACAATAAAAAATCCCAGTATTTTTCAATACCGTCTTAAGGGGAAACTACACAGGGAAATGGGTAAATCAATACCAGGTAAATTCTTGGTATTGTGCAACCAACCCAGTCTGCCTGCCTACCCTAACTGCAAGATGAGTTCATGGGTTTAACAGTTAGCGAACAGAGAGGTTCAGTAGCCAGCTACCTGTTCAGTGATCAGCTGTTGAAGGTTGTAATTGAAGAGCAGAAAAAAGGGTCGGTTAAGGTAAATTTCTACAGAACCATTGATGACAATTAATCCTTGTTGCAACGTAACGATTACACACACACTTGGTCGCTACATAATCTTGAGGTTTTTAGTAGCGTTTTTCATTTCGTCGAGAACACAGCATATCTCCTCGGATACGGATTAGAATTTTCGTGGTGTTCTTTTAATTATCGAATACAAAAATGTTACATCATCAAAATCGAGTCCACTTTCAAGATATTGTACAATTGTATTTATATCAAAGTAAAAGAAAATTTGCAGCGGAAGTAAACGATATTGAGGTCTATAATTAATTTTTATTTATATATAATATTTTGAAAATAAGTGTAGATTAAATTTTTTTTTATTAAATATTTGTGTTTTTTTATGTTTAAAGGTTGTCGATGACATATCCAGTTCAGTTACCATTAGCATACCCGAGAAAAATGTCCCCACCATACAAATTGAAAAGCCTGACGACGACGAGAGCGATGATGAATTGGAAATTCATGGAAAGAGAAGGTAAGTCGAAATAAAGTAGCCATTAGTACCAAATCGAAAAAACATTATATTATTTTCTAATTTATAGTGAGATTTTATTTAAAACAATATCGTAATGACAAGAGTAAATTAATTAAAAACAACAAACTGTGATTCAGCCTGACAATTTTGCAAAAACAGAAATGAAATTTGTTCTCATATGTGACTAAAATCTTTTTCTCAATATTGTCCAGTATGTGTTTCCAATATAAAAATTATCTTCAACAAGATAATAATTTTATTACCTCCACAATAAGATAGAGTGTATATGATATTATTATATTTTTATTACCTCCACCAGAATCTATATAAAGTTTGTATGTTCTGGATCAGTATACAATTCTACGTTGATATCTAAATCAACATAGAATTTTATTTTATTTTATTCGTATGTTGAAATAACGATAAAGAACGCAATATTTAAGAAATACATAAAATTCTGAAATTTTGCACACACATTGTTACTACTCCTAGGATATATCGGTCCATGTTTTGTTATAGCTCCCATATAACAGTACTGCCTGATTATTGGTATTTTGAAGGTTTTTGTTGCATTTTCAACAAAATTAACTGTAATTAGGAATTCCGGGATTTTGGGAAGCTGAACTGATGAATATAGGACCCTGTTTTAACATAGCCCCCATTTCAATGTCCCGCCTCATTGTTGCTATTTTGAAAGTTTTAATTGCATATTTCCACCAATTTTGAATACCGCTTTCTTGGAGAGTGAACAATATTATTGCAGGAACATATTTTTAAGGTTATACTGCTTTTTCCACGGATTTGGCATACTTTAATAGCGAAAAACATTTTTGTAGAGCAAATAGGACCTTGTTTTGACATAGCATCCACATAAAGTTCGCCGCCCAATTTTCGGTATTTTGAATGTTGTAGACGAAAACGTCTTAGCAAAAGATTTTCGAGGTACGTACGAAATTTGACATAGCGTCTCTATAGGGAAGTGTATCTAATACATTATCGGATTGGATTCTGGAATGAAATCTAATTATTAACAATATAGACGGCTTAGTTTTTTTTTTTGAAAATCGATAATTTTCTGCCCATTTGATGATTTCAGTTTCGTAGATATTTGATTAAATGGTAAGGGCAAATTTTGATTTAAAAAATTACATTAAGGAAAGTAGTAAAGTAGTAAGGGGCCGACCATATGATATCCATTACCACTTTGGCTATATTCAAGAGACGTCTCCTAATAGAACTCGTATTTTTGATGGACCCTTGACATGAAATAGGACTACATAAAATATGTCATATGTGCCTATATGTGAAACGACTTAACCCTACGATCAATAACCGAGTAAATTTGTACATTTTTATACCCTCCACAATAGTATGGAAAATATATTAAGTTTGTTGTTTCGTGTATAACTCATCGAAATAATCATTTCCGACCGTATAAAGTACATATATATTCTCGATCAGTGTAAAATTTTATGACGATTTAAGTATATCCGGCTGTCAGTTGTATTAACTCTAGCTTCTAAACAAATTGAGATAAATAGCTAAAATTTTGTCTTCTGTCCGCAGATATGTCAAATTCGAAGATGAGTTTCATCGGTCTACGTTTAGGCATAGCTCCCATATAAGGGTATCCCAAATTTCGGTATTTTGGGGTTCTTGAGCGCGTTTTTAACCGAATTCGATGAAATTTGACACTATGTACTCCTATTAAGTGAATCGATTTAAATCAAACAATTCAATATGCTACAACACAGAGCGATGTTCAAAACTTAATTTAACCAGCTCATTCAATGGTGCACAATTAGTATGAAGTTATTCGAAAATATATATCGGAGCAATAATTGCATCTGAAACAATTTTTACAACAATTTTTAAAACGTCAGTACGTAGTGCAAAATTTTGTGTCAATCGGTCTAAATTTGACTCTTTGGAAGAAAATAGATATGGGAACTATATCTAAATCTGAACCAATTTTCATATTCTCAAAGCGAACCAAGGGTATATCTCGATTTTTTTAGCTGTTACAGACATATGTACAAATGCATAATACTCTGTACCACAGTGTATAAAAACCATAACTTATTGATTTAAATGTGTTTAAACCAAATATAACTCAACTGGTCTTCATGATCGCGGGAGCATCCTATAAATCAAATTTTGAAAGACAAAGATACGTATTTGAGCTTCTATGCCCTTAATGTACCGAATTCCGTCATCATTAACAGTTTCTCGTTGTAAATTTTTTAATAAGCCCACTTAATGAACTTCAACGGTGCCGAATTAAATGAACTTGTCGGCCATATATGTCTGTCCGTTATAACGTCTCAAATTTTTGATATGTGGTGGGAAATATGATTTGGTATTGAATTTATTACATTACACTCCGAAAAAAATTGAGGTCATGATCTGGGTGTTGGAAAATTCCTATTGCGGAAAAAAATCTTGGTGAGAATATGAAAACTCCAGAAGGAAAATTTCGCCAAAGGTCAAAATTTGGAGATATGGCTTGATAGAATATGTATAATATTATGCTATTATGTATAATAGCATGAATATATTGCTATTATACATAAAGATATAGCTTCATACATTGATTTAAGGGGACCCCCCCCCCATTCTTGGGGTCAAACATTTTTTTGATTTAATTCGATTCTACACTAACTCAAGAATGTCTCTACAAAATTTCAATTGAAAATTTCAAGAACTCTTGAAGATATGGCCGATTTATTGTGTCAGCATCAAGTGACGTATAAAGGGCTTCTCAAACTTTAAACCCGTTTTTCTCTTTTGCGAATGGCGGGCACGATAACTCAAAAACTAATAATCCAATCGGTTCCAAATTTTTTTATACCCTACACAACTATGTTGTCAGGGTATTATAGCTTTGTGCAGCCCCAAAAGTTTGTAACGCCGCGAAATATTGGTCATAGACCCACCTTTAAGATCGTCATATCTCGACTAGCTGAGTCGATCTAGACATATGTGTCCGTCCGTCCGTCTGTCCATTATAATTTGTAAACACGATACAGGCCACAGTTATGGACCAATCTTCACGAAATTTTGCATGTAGGATGGGTTCTGGTCAATGAAGACCCCTATTGTCTTTGGGAAAGATCAGTTAACATTTAGGGGATGAAATGGACCAAATACTAAATTATTGCCGGTTTTTCTGGTCGCTCCAGAGGCCGCAACAATAGTCCGAACATCGAGAAATTTTGCATGGAGAAGCGGATCGGGCCAAAGAATAAGCATGCCTGTTTGGAGAAAGATCGGTCAATATTTAGCGGGTCAAATGAACCCTGACTTTTGTGTGAAAAATTACAAAATTTGTATTCTATGGCGTATATGTTTACCCCTGAAGGACATATACCCGAGAAGTTGATATTATATCCAAGAGGAGTGGTTGAACTTTAAATTAAGACCAATTATATTGTTGTATGTGATCGGATGTGGGAGTTACACCTAAATATTTACAGGTATCTCCGTATTCGTATATTATTTAGTAACCCATTATCACTCTGGAGAGCAGAACTATAGCGCTGATCGCTTTGAAATGTTCCATGAGGTTCCAGTTATGGTCAAGGCCAACGCATATAATTTTCGGTGATGATCAGATAAAAATTTTGGAATGAAGTGGACCGAAAACTTAATTTTTTGTGTTATTTATATTTTGTGTTATAGTCGAACTATAGACCTCAAATGAAAGCCGAACATCGCTACACAACCCACGGTGAAGGGAATCTGGACAATAGCTGTACTGAATACTCGTAATATTCGGAAAATATGTTAGTGTGAGGAGGAGGTGCTGTTTACCTCTAATCGGGCAAGAGGGTGCAAATATCACGAAATATTGCCCAGTCTCGGAATAAACATCTGCAGAAAATTTGAGTTCCGTGGTAGTTGTGTAGGGTATCGTATGGTCGGCTCCGTCCGACTATACTGCTCCGCTCACTGGTTTTAACATATTTTGTGGTCAAAAATCGGCGATTTTCAAAAAATATTTTTTCAAAGATCCGCCATTTTGTTAATTTTAGAGCGAAGTCAATAATCCTAGTTCATACGAGAGCCAGTCATGAACTCTTTCTAACACCGTTGGAATTTTCGGATTCCGATGTTCCAGTGAGGAGTTATCATGCCCGCCATAAAAAATAAGGACTTTTCTTTAATTTCAAAAAACAACAACAAAACAATAACAAAATTTTTTTGTAAATTATTTTTCTTCTCTTTTAAATCTTCACATATATATGTGCAAAGTTACAAACCTTAACGAGCATTGGTATTAATTTACCAGCCTATTGAAAATCTTGAAAATTAAAATCGAGAGTGCGGTTCCCTTAAAGCTATTGTAGGTATTATTTGAGATTACATTTATTTATGTCCTTATGTCCTTTCTGACCTTAAATTATCAAAAGAAACCGTGTAAATTGAGAATAGACCATAAAAAGATTAAATTATCGATTTCTTGTCTTTGAGGACCCCACCTAAAATCTTATGAGCAACATTTGTGTAATTTAAGGACGAAAAGGACAAAAAACATGTAATCGAGTTAGAAGGACAAAATATTTTACGAAAAAAATCCTCATTCGATTTTACTGCAGAAATGTAAGGTGGGGAAATACAACAATAGCTACAAATCAACTTATATTAATCTATCTCTTCAGGTATAATAGGGTCGACGACAAAAAAAATTATCACAACATATCTCCGAACTTTGACCTAAGGCGAATTTTGTCCTTTGGGATTTTCATACCATCAGCAAGGTTTTGCAACACCAATAGGTATTTTTCTCCCTCCAAAATCTTGTCTCACATTGTTATTTGTGAATTTTATTATAAATATTTGAAAATTCAAATTTATGTTATTGTGTTCTAAACTCTACAATCTCTATTCGCTTTTTATCGTAAAGGTTTTTATCTTTTCCCAACAATAATAAAACCACTCACTATTTTTATCTAAACAAGTCTCCACTTCTCTTAACTACACTATAAAGAGAAGTGTGA